CTTGGTGGACCGCATCGTTAGAACAGACTTTGGCGGGAAATCCCTCCTTGAAGAGCTCGTTCGACCTGCCTAGGCCCGGCTAGGCACCCTTGGTCCGTCTCTCAGTGGCCATCCTTCCTCCCCAGCCTTTGACCACCAATGCTCTGTCGTCCATCTCCAATCCATCTGCCTCGGCCATCGTTCACTCTGCTGCCGCCTCCCTTTCTTCGAATGCCGCTTTGCACTCGACCACCACTGCTTCTACCTCCTCCGCAGTTGTCCAGTCGACCACGGCGGCTCAGTTGGGGTTTGCTGCTTTTGCCTCGTCAGCTGCAAGCACTCCCTCAACTGTTGCTACCATGTCCTCGGCCACAGCTGCCCAGTCGACTTCTACAGCGCAGGCTTCTGCTACTGTGTAATCAATGTGTCATCTACCACCGCTACACAGTCGACTGGCGCTGCTCCATCTACCACCGCTCCTCCGAAATAGTTTAGGCGTTTGACGATGTACTTTCATATTTTATTTTAGTGCAATTTTCTTGTGCTCGTCATGTAATGAAAGCTTTAATTTCGTTTTCCTCGTGCTGTGTGATGCTTTTACTTTCCCAATCTTTGCGCTGCTTTGTATTGTGATCTTTCCATATCCGCGGCCATTTGTTCATCGGTTTAAGTAGAATGACTATCTTTGTGCTCGACGTCCTTCATGATTTGCAGTTAATCGTCGCCCGATAATGTGATAAACCATAGTAACCACTTGCTTTTTTTAAATGAGTATAAACATATTATCTGGTCGAAAACAAGCGACCTTCGCCCACCCCTTGGTCAGGATGTTCCGAAAATGAAGGACTTTGGTCTTCTCACTTGCCCACCCCAAGGGATGTTCCAAAAACATTGTGGTCGTCCAGCCCGGAGGCGTTGACGTTGTCGACCACATGCCCACCCCTTGGAATGTTCCGAAAATAAGCGACCTTCGCCCACCCCTTGGTCGGGATGTTCCAAAAACGAAGGACTTTTCTCTTGCTTCGAGTGACGGTGAGCAGGGGTTGCGCCCGCGGTCCCACGCACGTCCGACAAGAAATTCCAAAGAAATTGTATAAGTGATCGGTTTGTATTATTATATATATTGAATTTAGGATCCATGCGACCACATATAAAGATTGACTATGTCGTTAAATAGATCAAACCGAATTTGCAAATGACATGTTGTGAGAAATCAATGGTAGATATGACAATTCGTAAAAAAAGGTAATCACAACTTGACAGAAATCCACAATCATAGAAACCGATGATTTTGACAATTCTTGAACCAAATTTTGCTTCGAGCTACATTAATACAATTTTCTCGGGCATAAAAAAGGTAATCACAACTTGTAAATGACACGTTTATACATAATATTTTTTAAGATTAGCTACGTTCCACGACCTGGCTAGCGATCTGCCCTCAGCATCCTTCAAGGAATATGCTCCTCCTGCATGGACTTTCTCGACCAAGTATGGTCCTTCCCAATTAGGCTCCAGCTTTCCTACATGTTTGAGCACGTCCACACTTTTCGAAACTAGATTGCCCACCTGAAATCGGCGGATTCTTACTTTCCTATCATGGGCTGCTCTCATCCGTTGTTTGTATACCTCCACTCTGGTCGAGGCTTGTTCCCTGGGTTATTCAATTGTATCCAAGGCAGCTAACATGAGTTCTTTATTCTGCTCCCGGTTATAAGTTCCTGCTCGCTGGGATTACAATTCTAGTTCGATCGGCAACAACGCTTCCATCCCATAGACCAGGCTGAACGGTGTCTCCCCAGTGGTCGACCTCGGGGTAGTTCTGTAGGCCCAGAGTACAGATGTTAGCTCGTCGACCCACGCCCCCGAGGCTTTCTCCAGTCTTGTCTTCAGCCCATTCAATATAATCCCGTTAGTCACTTCCACTTGTCCATTAGCTTGTGGGTGGGCGACTGAGGCAAAGTGCTGCTCGATTCCCATCTCCTCACACCACGCCCTAACTCGCTTGCCGTTGAATTGAGTTCCACTATCAGATATCAAGACTTTGGGGACTCCGAACCGACAACAAATGTTGTTATACAGAAATTGGATTACTTTCTCCTTTATGATCTTGGCCAGCGGCTCAGCTTCCACTCACTTCATAAAGTAATCGACTGCCACAATCAAGAATTTTCGTTGCCCTGTCGCCTGCGGCATTGGCCCTACCAGGTCAATTCCCCACTGCGCGAACGGAATTGGTGCACTCATAGTGGTCATTGTCTCAGCGGGTTGGTGGATAAGCGGGCCGTGTTTCTGACATTGCAAGCATCTTTTGGTCATCTCCTTGGCATCCGCCTTCATTGTCGGCCAGAAATACCCTGCTCTCTAAATTTTTGCCACCATGGCTCCAGCCTTGCTGTGGTCGCTGCGACATCCTTCGTGTACCTCTTTGAGGACGTACCAGCCTTCTTCCTTGGTCACACACCGCAAATGTGGTCCGACATACGATCGTTTGTAAAGAATCCCTCCTTGCTCGAAAAACCTTCTCACTACTTTGACTGTTCCTTCTCTCAGCTCTTTCAGGATCAGAGCTCTCCAGTCTTCGACTTCCTCGATCTCTATCACCTCTGCTTCGACCACACTTCTTTCCATGTGGAGCAGGGTCACACTTCTGCTCTTACAGTCTACCAAATTTTGAGCGATTTTAGATAACAGATCGGTTCGACCATTCTCTCCTCTTGGTATTTGCATTTACTCGAAAGATCCGAATTTTTCCTTCAGCCTCTTCATGTCATTCACATAACGCTGCAGCCTGTCCTCCTTGATCTCAAAACCCTCCTGAAACTGTCCGACCACCAGCTGGGAATCAGAGTGGACTTGGATTTGTCAAGCACCTCCGGCCAGGGCTAACTGCAGCCCCTTAATCACTGCTTCGTATTCTGCCTCATTGTTTGACACTCGAAACCCCATTTTAACAGCAAATTCCAAGTACTCTCCTTTGGGAGACACCAGTACTATGCCCAAGCCCGCTCCACTCCTCGAAACTGAGCCATCCGCGAACAGGTGCCACATTCCCTCCATTTGCTCTTCCTCCTTCGTACCTTCCTGAATAAAGTCGGCCAAAACTTGCGCCTTGATCGCCCTCATTGGTTCATAAAGGATAGAGTATTCGCTTAGCCCGACCGCCCACTTCACTAGTCGACCAGACACTGCTGGTCGGCCTAAAGTCTGCTCCAGAGGCATGTTTGTTCGCACCTTGACCCTCTGGTTTAGGAAATACGGTCTTAGCTTTCAGACCGTCACGACCACTGCCAATGCACATTTCTCAATCTCTGAGTACCTCAACTCTGCTCCCTACATTACTCGACTGACATAGTATATTGGGAATTGTGCCACTCCTTCCTCTCGCAACAGCACCGAGCTTACCGCATTCTCACCCACCGATATGTAGAGCACAAGTTCTTCTCCATGTATTGGCTTAGCTAGCAAGGGCAAGTTTGCCAACACCTCCCGCAACTCTTGGAAGGCCTTTTGAGCTTCCTCCGTCCACTGGAACTTCGAGCTCTTCTTCAACGTTTTGAACAGAGGGCCACTCTTCTCAGCCACTTTAGAGATGAATCTGCTCAACCCCGCTATTCGACCAGTTAGTATTTGAACCTCCTTCACACTGGTAGGTGGCTTCATTTCTATCACCGCTCTCACTTTCTCAGGGTTTACCTCTATTCCCCGCTTTGTCACCATATATCCCAAGAATTTTCCTGCTTTTACACCAAACGAGCACTTGGCTGGATTAAGCTTCATGCCATACCTCCTCAGTGTTTGGAAAGTCTCCCTCAGGTCACCCATATGATCCGCCTCCACCTTGCTCTTCACCAGCATGTCGTCGACATATACCTCCATATTCTTCCTTAATTGGTCTTTGAAAATCTGGTCGACTAGTCTTTGATAAGTTGCCCCAACATTCTTTAACCCAAATGGCATAACTACATAGCAATAGGTGCCTTTGCTCGTTATGAAGCTTACCCTCTTCCAATCCTCCTTCGCCAGGGGAATTTGATGGTACCCTTGTGAGGCATCCATTAGACTGAGCAGCTCACACCCCGCCGTGGAATCTACCAACTGGTTAATCCGTGGTAGTGGGTACAGATCCTTCGGGCATGCTTTATTCAGGTCGCGAAAGTCGATACACATCCCTTATTTCCCTCCCGATTTGGACACCATCACCCTGTTAGACAACCACTCTGGAAACTGGACTCTCTTGATATGCCCGGCGTTCAACAACTTTTCGACCTCCTCCTCGATAATTTTGTCCATTTCCACGCCATGATGCCTCTTTTTCTGTTTCACTGGCCTTACGCTGAGATCAATATTCAGCCTATGCTCGATCACCCTGGCTTCGATCCCCGTTAGCTCATCCGCTGTATACGCGAAGATGTCTGCAAACTCCCTTATCAGACTGACCAGCTTCGACCTGATCGGCTCTCCCAAATCCTTCTTGATCCTGAACTTGCGATCATCACACCCCTGCACCATCTGAACTTCTTCGACCTCGCTCCCTGGTTGTATGTCTATCTTCTCCTTTCCTTTATCCTACCATTCTCTTTCCTCCTTCGTTCTCGACCCTCCTGGTCAATCGGGCCTCTCTTCCTTGCCTTTCAATTGCTTTTCTACCATCTGCTTGTTATTGCTGACTGTAGTTTGGTAGCAACTCCTCGATATGAGCTGGTCCCCAACAATATTGCCCACATTTTCCCCCACAGGATATTTGATCGTCATGTGGTATGTAGACACGACCGCTTGGAACGCGTTTAAGCCTGTCCGTCCCAGAATGATATTATAAGATGATTCTGCACCAACCACTACGAATCGGACCATCCTTACTTTCCTCGTATCGCCCAACCCCAACGCTACAGTTAGGCTCACTTCGCCCATTGGCATCACCTCCCCTCCATTAAAACCATATAAGGCTGTCGCCACCGGTTTCAACTCCAGATTCAAATGTTTGTTGATCTGCGCGAAGCAGTCATAGAACATCACATGACCGAGCTCCCAGTGTCGATGAACACCCTTTTTACGTCGAAACCTGCTACCTCTGTCGTGATGAGCAGTGCGTCATTGTGGGGTAGCAAGATCCCCTCCGCATCTTCTGCTCGAAACCTGATCACTGGCATTCGACCAGTTATCCCAACCTCCTCCCTTTTGCGCTTCACAGCTCGCACATGCTGTAGCGCCCCACTTTTATTTGCCAAAATTCGGAATAAATTTTTGAAATTTATTTTCAAAAATAATATTTGAGGCGTACTCATTTTCAAAACAATAATCAATGCTCAACATTTTCTCAATACTCGGCAATTATCTATACTCATAATCAATATGCAAATCCCGATAATCAATCATAATCCAATAATAATCCTAGGGAAAATAATCCCTATCAATAATCCAATACTTCAATACTAACGAAAAGCAGTAATCGATAATAACGCAATAATATCCAAGTTTAGTTCAAAGCGGAAGCATTAAACAATTTGAAGACCACCACTCGCATCTCTTACGCCGTGCCGCATAAACTAACCTGCATCCGTGAAGAGCAGGTAGGGATGAGCACAATAGGAAAATCGAGGTGCTCACCGCTATGCAATAATTAATATCAATAAATATAAAACAATTTAAGTACGGTCGCAGCATGTATACGAATCAATAATCGTCCCATCTCCTATCAATGATCAATAATGGTCTCATGTGCACACCTATAACAATAGACTACTGTCGAGCTATATACCGAACGCCTTCCTCGAAGGCCTTACAACGAGTGTCCGGCCAGCAGGAGCAATAATCCACCCCGAATGCCAAAACTCACGCCTTGGCCTTACATACGAGGATCACCAGCCAAGGCTCACGCCCTGACTGCCAACAATAATAAAGGAGACTACCCGAAGGTACGTTCTATAGCTACGGGGATAACCGTTCGACGGTCAATATAGCTCACATCGAAGGCTACATGGTTCACATGCATACTTTTATTATACAACAGCAAAAACAATTAATTAAGGCATAGTAAATTTTACAATTACAACCCACCTGGAAATTTCAGTAGAAAATGGCACACAAAAGCAAGTACGTAGAATGAGGCTCGACTCTTCATACACCTACATTTAAGCGAGATATTTTATCAATTATTTATCTCACTACTCGGATTTAACATAAAATCCATACTTAATAAAAATTAAGACTTAAGGGTTTTAATCGAATTTTTCGTGGACTTGGAACTCTCTCAGTTTTGCAAAATAGGACTCGAAAAATTAATTTGGAGTCTCGAGACTTAAAATAATTTTCTCAAATTTTTCCCCTCATTTTATAAATATTTTTAAAAACGAAATCAGTATTAAAAAGGGGCTTCCGGAACACAAAAAGCTTGAAAAAAAAAAATCAACTAGACTAAAATTTGCAATCTGAGCCAAATGCTGCCTATGTATTGGGCTTTGAGCGCGCCTCTGGGCCGTTGAATTGGGCCTGGGACGCTGAAGAGCTTGCGGGCTATTCGCGGGCTGAATTTTGGGCTGCTGGGCAGAGAAGGAATGGGCCGCGCGCGGGCTGATATCGGGCCAAGCGGCCCGCGCGTTTTGGGAGCAGACATCAGGTTTTTAAAAAAATAAAAAGATTGCAGATCTCAGGGTTCGAACCCTGGACCTCCTCACAGAAGTGCGCGTACAACGCCACTGCACCAAACACTTGCTTGCAATTTAATTGCAAACGAAAACAATTGACTTTTAAGAAAAGCCTGCAATTTGAATCAGAAAAATAAATCGAACAGACGACACAAAATTGGAAAATTTTAACAAGCGAATATAGAACAGGGCTGGAAAAATTCTGAACAGGGTTGAACCAAAAATCACCGAACTCGACGAGGACATAACTAACAACGACCGGGGTTCGGGAATTTCATACATAATCGAAAAGTACTATTTATCAGAGATTTCACAACTTATAAAACCAGGTTTTTGGGGTCAAACAAACGAAACAACAAAATATGCCTCGAAAACGATCAAAACAATTCAACGACGATAGCAAAGCTTGAAACAGCAAAACAAAATTCCGAACTTAAAAAATTTATCACAGCAATGACGAGACTCGATTTATACGAACGAGAGAGAGTTCCAAATAATTCCACGAATCAATATTTACAATTTTAACGAACGA